AATTAATATATTTTATTATATATAAGTTTAATTAAATCGGGAGGTCGGAAAGCGCAATTAAAATTTTAAGTTTCTTAAAATATTTAAAAATATACTGCCAGCTAGTATTCACCCTACTTTAAACCTTTGTCTTCCCGAGACATGTATGAGAATGTCCCGGGAAATCCGAGACCAGATGTTCTCAAGGTCATCCAGCTGTGTAAACAATGACTCATCAATGTCAAATTTCGCAGAAAGGCGAGACAATAGAAAATAAAGTTTGAAGCTATTTCTTCAAAATTAACACATTTCTTTCGTTTTTTCAGTTTTAAGTATTTTTTATGTTTAATTAAAAATTCCTTAATGCTCTACCTCTCCTGCCGCGGGGGAATTTCGAAAAATCCCTTCTTAGTGCGCGTTTTCATGACGTACCCTAACTGTGTACCAAATTTCATTTCTTTAGGTTCAGCGGTTTGCTCTGGGCTATGATGAATCAGTGAGTCAGTCAAGACAAGCAATTTTATATATATAGATTAGTTGGTTTAATGATTGTCTTCTGGAAAGCTCATAAAAACATATTTTTTGTGCTTAATTACTTTAAAAAATAACAGGAATAAATAGAGATCTAGCCTATTTGATTATATTTTCGCACTAAATTACTTCTATGTAATAAGTTGATTTTGTATATAATATAATTTAGAATTAAATTGACTTTAATGTTAAGTATAATTTATTGTAATTCGTAAATTTTCATACTTTTACTTAAATAAATTAGAACAAATTTTAAATTAAAATTAATTAAACATTTTAAATAAAATGGATGAATAAGGCAACGAAGCACATGGGCGATCAGTCAAGGGGATGCCAGCTAGAGGACTTTTTATGTTAAATAAGACGCTATTTACGAGTTAGAACGCGAATGAAAGACGGAAAACTATATGTGACCAATCCGTTGGTGAGGTGACAACCCGTTAAACAACTGCCAGTGTCAGGGTTTTAGGCACATGCGTATTTATATTTATTTTTTTAACTCTCTGCCCTGTGGGCACTAAGAGGGCCTCTTTTAGCAAGCCCATTATAAGTTCGGTCAGGCCCACAATGAGGCGAGATATGGTTCTACATATCCAATCGGACCACCCCCCAAAAATTCCTGGGGATTTTTCGACCCATCCGAATTCGAACCCGGGTCATCCAGAGCGGTAGGTTGTCACTTTGACCGCTGGAACGTCTGGACGATGGAGTTTCAAGTATTGGACCATTGATAAACATAAATTCGAAAATGCAGAATTTTAATTTATTTAAAATTAATTCGAATAAATAAACTTATTTTATTTAAATTTTAATCGATTTTGTTAATTAAATTTTTATAACAATTAAAGAAAAGTTAATTGGGCTGCATTTTGAAAAAATTGTAGACCTATAAATTCCCACTGTCGCCTGTCTGTCCGTCCAACTTTCCTTAACAGATGACCGGCACGACTCTATTATTAACAGAAAAGTGTGATGTACAGGGGCAAGCCACTACTAGCTTGAGATATTTTGAATTAAATGATTTCAAAATATGATTAAGAATTGCAGTTTGGCATTGTGACCATGTCACAAAAGACAATTGCTCGTAGTTATCGTTTGTTTGTGAAAGCTTTGGTTTCCACTTGTAAAAATATTTACGATAAAAACTACATTTTGATCTTTGTCGTGTTATGAACCAGAATAAACCACGCTGTGTGGTTCGTTATCTTCTGTATATATTTTGTCGCGCAATCTCTTGTACACTCCTTCACCAATTATGTGCTCTCCTATGCACGGGCCCCTTTATATCTATTGCCTTTACGCTCAGCAATTGACGCCCAGCAATGGCGCACCTTGTAATCTACATCCTTCCTCTTTCTCTTCCCCGTCGTCTCCCCCTTTCTTCAACCCCCTTACCTCCTTCCTTCCTCTCCTTCGCTGGCTATGCCTTTCGGTGCGGCCAGGATCTATCAACTAACTATGAACCAGAATATCAAAGTTAAAAACCCTTCTGAGAAGTAATAATAAGTTAATAATTGTGGGAAATAGGAATTTCGCTGTATACGTTCTCATTTCTCCGCGTTTTTTAAATGATTTATGCATGCTAAACTTGTAAACTTTTTGTTAAATTCAAGTTAAAATACTTTTATATATGCAATCCTGGAAAAAAGTTTGAAACCATCTGGTTTTCAAACTTCCCATTAAAATTAATTGATATTTTGAAAATATGTTGTTTTTAAGTACTGTATTAAAATAACCATAAACAAATATGAAGTAAAAATTTATTTTCGTATTTAAAAAAAAATCATATACAACAAATTATTCCTTGCAATTTGCCTGTAAAAGTTTGAGACCACGATTAAAAAAAAGTCACAAAAACAAAACATAATGGGAAAAACAATGTTTAATACTTGGTACAGGATTCTTCTCCTTCCCAATTCATCACCGAACGATTATTGATGCTAATGTCTGAAATTCCATTTAATCGATGCAAGATGTGTGATTACCAGAGCCCCTTCGGCCGCCAATTTAAAGTCTTTTAATCTTTAAAATTGGCGTTTCCACTTCCCGGGACGAGGACCCAGGGGTTGGATTTGTGGGAAGCGTGTGTTCGGGTTGTTTCATTGTGTCGAATTACACAGAACGAGGCGCTTGACGTGTAAGTGCGTGAGTGCGAGAATTCGAGTAAAGGTTAAACTGTATATATCTTCGTGTACAGTAGTGTTATGTCTGTGCGTGTGTGTATGTGTGTGATCGAAGAACATCTTCGGCATGTCTATAAATAGAAAACAGTAAATTACGATACGAGAATAAGACGTGTTAAGAAATGAAACGAAAGAGTTCTTACCATCGGAAAATATTCACTTGTACGATAAATGGCCACTTGGTCCTCTTCGTGGTAAAGTTGGGGAGGGAGATTGTCGGGATAAAAATCGTCTGGCGCACGGTTTTCCCGCGCTTTTCCAATTGTTCGACGAACGACGGTTGTCGCCATAGGAACAGCAATCGGACCACTTTTGAAGACTCGACCGCTGATTGGTTGAGAGGCATCACACCATCGGCGGACGTCTTGTAGAACTGCTAAGCGCTGATTGGTGGAATCCAATTCTGCTTCAATCCTATAAAAGGATTGAGTTGTGGCGGGAAGTTCAGTTCACTGTGGACTCAGAAAGTGGATTCACGTTTGGTCTTAGTTCGCCTAAGCTGGTCCCGAAGCTTGTCTCGTCTCATTGGACTGTAAATGACTTTAGAGATAGTTCGTCGCAAGGTGTCTTTTCGACGGACCTGTTGTGAAAAAACGAGAAGTTAATTCATTTATTACCTAAGGTCAAGATTATTACCTTAATCAGACAGTCTTTCTTCCCGAACAGTGTTATGAGAAGAGCGTAGAACCTGATCTAGCCTAGGCTAACCTAACGAACCCTAACCGGAAGCTCAATCCTCATAACAGCTATTTGGGAAGAAAGGTCGGCCGAATGTCGCGTCCGGTGAAGAAACGTGTCAAGTCCGTGGGTCACGTCCGGGTACGAGAGGTCACGTCCGTTAAAAGGTGTCATGTCCGGGTGAAAAGTGTCGAATCCGGTAAGAAAGTCGCAACCGGGGTGAAGAAGAGGAAATCGAAGAAGATCACCGCCTAGGCCAAGGTAACCGCAGCAACAAAACCACGGACAGCACGGTCCCTCAACTTCGGGGACTCTCTCCTCCGACTCCTCCCCGTTCCCACTTCGGCAAGGGGGTGGCGTCGCCGTCGCGGACGAGCTGTCACTTTCGACATCCTCCACAGCAAGGTCTGTGGCCGGATGACCCCCGAAGACCTCGGCCAAGCGCACTGGACCCAGGGTGTAGCGTCGCATCATCCCGACTCCGGGAGGATGCCACGCCACGCGCACTTGGCGAAAGTCTTCTTCACCCGCTGCGTGTCGCTCGTGGAGCCCCCGCTCCTCCAACGTCGTCCGAGGAACTCTCTCCTTCCGGCGCCACCGCCTGCCTCCGCCGGAACCGCCTCCAACAAAGCACCAACGTCTTCATCCTGTAAAAAAGAAAATTTGCAATTAGTCCAGTGAAAAGAAAAGCTTAAATTAATGCTTAAATTCTTTCGAGTAAAAGCAAACTGCTCACCGCAACCGCCTTTTTAAATCTAAAAGATTCGAATCCGAAGCGCAAACGGTCGACCATGGAACGATGTGCCGAGATGTCTTCTGGGACCGATTCTCCAAGTAATATTAAATAAATTCTTACGTCTAGTATCAATACGGACTAAGACTTACCTAAAAAATCTTCAATCTTCTCTGTAAAAGTCTTTAAACCGCAAATCGAAGAGCGAAAGAAAAGCACGTCCGATCACAACGAGAAACACAATCGAATTGCGATTCGTCATGTGTGACGTATTTCGAACAAACTTTAAAAAACGCGTCAACAATGTTCGAATTTCGTAAAAATTAGAATTTTTTTAAAAAATCAATTTTTAAATTTTTTTTAATTAATTAATTTATAATTATTTTTCTTTTTTAAATTTGATAAATAAATTATCTTCTGCATTTACATGGTGCAGAATGTCGACCGTGGAGAGGTAAAAGACGGATCTTTTTAAATTCTACGTCTCCAGGCTTGACCATCTCCGAAATTCGTTCGAATAAATGCCTTTTTCGTCCATTTTCGATCATGGCATGAAATAAATCAAATTCTTAGGATTTCGCTTTGCGGAAAGATTCCTCGGTCGCTGTCGGGGTTGCGGGTTTCGCCTATTAATACAACATCAAACTGGATAAAGTTAATATTAAAAATACCGAAAAACCTTTATAATACGGCCGAACGAAAATTAAGTCCGAGACAACGGGGAAATCGACGCAGAGGGAAACGATCGTTCTTTCTCCTTGAATTTCTGACTTTTTAAAGGATCTCTCCCCTAAATTCTTAATGTGATCGCTTAATTAATTTGACACCTCCATTCGACTTGTTCCGCAAGTGTTGATCCAACTTTGAAACTTTCGGTCGTATCTCTCATGCCATGATATTTTTTTTTATCAATATTTAAATCTCAACAGAAAGAAAATGAAATACGTAGTTTTTAAAATCACTGACATAATTTTAATATGGCCAAAATTTTTTAACTTGTAAAGATGTCGCGTATTCAAGAAGGTTGAAAAACACTGCTCTAGTGTATTGGACAGGATTAAAGAGATTGACGAATTAAGGAAGTAGCTGCAAATTTGGGTTACCGCAAAAGTACAGTACAATTGAAGGGCTAATAAAAGGTTATGAAAGAGACAAGAGATTAAGAACCAGAACATATCAATTTAAGATCACCAAGTTCACGTATAATAAAAACTTCAGGGACATCATGAAGCAAGTTTCAGACAAAAAAAGCTCCAAAATTGTTTACAAAAGAGGTCCTAATTTATACAGTATTCTCAGAACGATAAGGACAAGCTTAAGAAAGAAGAAACAGCGGGCGTGTATAAAATTCCCTTTGAAAACCAACAGCTAGGAATTATGAAGGACTATATTGGAGTCACTAGACGGAATTTGGCTATTAGGCTTAAAGAACACAGATATGACATTAGTAAAGGACATTGTACCACGGTTTTGTCAAGTATGGCACAAGCGGAGGCTTCAATAGTTAAATGGAATGAAGCATCTATTCTCAAGACTGTGCTGTCCCCATCGTTGACTTTGCAACATGAAATAATTGAAATTTATAAGAGTAAATTAAGAGACGGCTGTATCAATGCAAGGGATGCTGATGGTTTAGCTTCGGCATGGAAGTTCTTTGTAAAAGAAAAGTTAAAACACAAATTCTTAGTTCCTATCTTCCCTTTATAATGTGATGCTTTTTGATGTATATTTTTATGAATTTAATCCTTTTGTGCATTTAATCTTTTAGGTTTATTTTTATTATTTTTTCTTTTATATCGCCTTATTTTATTATTTATATTAATTTATTATATTATTATAGTTATTTTGTATATTGATTAGTTAATTTATTCTACGTTTTAATTTTGAATTTGTAATGTTTGAAAGTTCCGTTTTAACACAATTTTCAAATTTGTTCGATAGCCAGTCACCTGATGATGGCCTATTCCAGTAGGCTGAAAACGTTTGTGATTTAATAAATATTCTCAGCGTTATAAGGTGTTAAATGTTTTAATGAGGCTATTCTAATACTATGAGTATATATTTAATTTTTATTTAATAAACAGAAAATATATTAATAAACTGATTTCGAAGTATCCTATTTCTTTTTATTTCAATTATAGAGAATGGTTTATGGAAATGGATATAATACGATTGCCAGATTGATTTTCATATCTCGGTCTCTCAACTTTTCGCAAAAATTTCAGTCACCGCTCTTCCAGTTCTATTAAATAGCTTACAGCGTAAAAATATATAGATAATATAATGGTTTTTAATTGTAAATAAAATTGACTATAGAAAATATAATTATATTTCAAGTTTTAATAGTAATGAGTTCAGTTAAGTTGAATTTAGATTGATTTTTGAGTTGGACGTGTACTTGAAAGGTTATCTACCAATAAGAAGCTTATTAATAGAGATCTTAGAATTACTTGAGCAATATTACGTTCGCCTAAAGAATACTGGGCAATCCGTAAGTTATCTTTAGAGATTACAAATTTACGGGCTTTTATTTTTCCGGCTGTTATGTATATAACACGAGAAAGTGCTGGCATCTTGTCAAATTTGGTCCTTTCAATTGTCAATTTTGCAAATCTCGACGTTTTGAGCAAACTTGAACAAAAAGAAAAATTCAAAAATGTAAAAAACTCTGAATGTGTGTGGGTATTCTATTTTGTTTAATATAGCTCAGGAAAGGTGAAAGCTTAAGAAATGAAATTTGACTTGATTGAATTATCTTTTTCTATTCTGAAAAGCAACACTTTCGTTATCTGAAAAATAGAACATGCTATAATTTTTTAATTGCCGCGATTAATAAGTTGTCAATGACAGCGCTTACATCCAAATACAGTAAATGCTTTATTTTGTCAACTAAAATATTACTCGACCGAAATGGCTATTGTATTCTAGGAGTAACGGATTAAGTTGGGTAGCCACTGTTAATCGAATGATAAATATGGTAGACGTAACAGAAAATATAATTGTCGTATTAACAGAAAATATTTTGCTTCATTTTTACTCCCACCCCTTTTGTATACAATTAGTTATCACCATTGCATCCTCTCTCCACTTGCGCAATCATATGTACTGTACTGTACAATAAATGTCAATTAACGACAGAATATTCCAAAATAAATGAATTACTTTGTATGCGCAAACACTCGGATGACTTTCCCTCCTCCCATTTCGATGTCGTCGCAATAAATGCACGCGGCCTAAATCAAGCCAAAACTATTAGTAAATACTAACTGAAATATCAATGATCAAATATAAATACTAATTAAAACTAAAAAAGTAATAAATAAAACATTATACTTAATCACACAAATGTCGTATCATTTCATACGGAACATTACAGCTGTTCGAACATCGTATCAAGCTACACGAATATACGGAATTTCTTTGAGTAGTCACTGTTCCTTTGAGACAAAAGTGTGCTGTATCACTTCATAGGACTGCTTATGACCAACACACACATTTTCATTCTAAGAGGAAAGAACAACGCAATGATCAGGCCTGTTCCACTGTAGGCGAAAAGTAACTGTTGATTTTGGTGCTGCTTGACAAGCAACTTATACACTCACCAACATTCTCACTACCTTCCACACTGCCATATTCTGCTACACACAGCTACCGTAACCCTGTATGTGCACTGTTGAAGTCTGAAACACTATTCGTTGATTGTTCTGCAGCAACTGTGTTATTATCTTCAACAACTTGTAAAATGATTGATTTGACTCCTCACTAGGTTGAACATCCAAGCGTCCACTTTCCTCGAATCAATTGATCATTCTCCCAGAACTCGTAAAGTTGATGAAATTTGACGTAAATTCTTACAACGGCGGAATTCTCGAAATGTACCCGCATTCTTATTGTTGTTTTATTATAACAACGTCAGAAGAAATGCGTGATTTGGATAGGTGATGGCCATCATGGCTGACAAAATTACATTCAACAGTTACGACTATATTTATATCCAGAACTTGGCTGCGACACGTGTGCTTAATGCAAAGGAAGCCGCATTTTCGTTGCTTGCAACGTTAAAAATGCCATATCAATGAGTTTTGGTACTAATCTTTTTATGGAATTGTCTTACGCGTGTCCCGAAATGTCACCATACCAGAGTTGGTTGCATTTGGACTGCTAAATATCTGTCTAGAGACGTTGAAGAGTGTAATTGGATTAAGTTCACTCGGTATTTAAAATACCTTGAATTTTCTTTACAAATTAAATTTTTAAATTTTATGTAACGTACGTAGAACGAATAATTACGACTGATATTTAATGATTCTAAATTATTAATTTATCTTTGATTCAGAAAATATTTAGACCAAAACATTTGGCAAGTTCTACCTACATAAGAATTTTCTGTGTATATCTCCGAAATAAATGGATTTATTTAAAATATGAAAATTTACATCAATTTTCGATTATTTTGTTACAAAGTAACTCATTATTTGGATTTGTTTTATTAACTATGAAATATACAGATTTACTAAAGAACAAATAATTTATCTCCAGCATAATTCCTAAATTATTTATTAAAAATATAACAATATTCTTGAGTGTATAAATTCTTATTGTAAAAATTATCATCATCAAATATTGATGACGATAAAAGTTTATATCCCAGGTAAATAATTTTAGTTTCTCTAACAGGATCGAAAATAAATACAATTGCCATTCGGACCTCTGACAAAATCTTTTCTACATCCACAGGAAGGTGGTCTGCAATCAGCAGTGCAAGCTACATTTGGAGTTCTGCAGCTTCCATCGCAAGCTCCACATCTTTTAAGTTCTTCATTTGGTCCACAAACTATATAATATAACATTAAAATGATAAAAAATCAATCATATTATTTTGAATTATGTTCGTAATTTTATGTATATTTATAATACAGAGTGCATTTGGAAATAATTGAAAGGCTATAATAGAGAACTTTTTACTTGAAAAATCTTATTCCATTTTATAATGATTTAATGAGATCATTAGATAAGGCAGCTTGTTGTAGGTGGGTTTGAATAAGTATATACAGTACATATATTCAGTATTCAAAATATATACATATATTCTATTTAGACAAATGTCTTTATTGAAAAAATAATAAAAAAAAAAAAAAACTTTTATAACTAACAACTACTTATGCCATTTTACTTTTTATCAGACTACATAAAAGCCACAAATACACGCAAGTTCTTTCACCTTTAAGCTACCTTGGATCGATTTTTTAGTTTATTTACTTAGAATTTATCAAACGGACAGGAGACT